ATGGTAATATATTAATACACGTGGAAGACAATTTGGCAAAAACTGATGACATGAAAAAAAAATATTAATATCACAAAAATTTTTTTTTTTAATTCCTTCTTTTTCTTTTTCCTTCTCTTTCCCTTGGGGTCATGGGTTCCATGAGTTCCTTGGAACCCGACGTTGAGTTCCTTGGAACCCGACGTTGGGTTCCGTCAAACCCAAGGTTGGGTTCCTTGGAACCCAGGCGTTGGGTTCCATGGAACCTCGGCCTGGGTTCGACGGAACCCGGGTGCTATGGAACCCAGGCACTGGATTCCCTCGAACTCAGGCGTGGGTTCAAAGAACTCAGGCGTGGGTTCAAAGAACTCAGTTGGTTCACCACTAGGTTCCTTGGAACCCAGGCGTTGGGTTCCATTGAACCTAGGCCTGGGTTCAACAGAACTCGACCTTGAAGGAACCCAGCTAGTTCGCCGCTGGGTTCCTTGGAACCTTGGCCTGGGTTCAACGGAACCCGAGTTCGAAGGAACCCAAGGGTATATATATATATATATATATATATATATATATATATTGTGGGTTCGGTTGTTTGATGATGATGATGAATTGATTGATGAAGATGAAGACTTAATTGATGAAGAAAGCAAGGCAAGGAAGAGGAAGGAAAAAGAAAAGGTGCCTATTGGGTTCGATTCAATCCAGGCACTGGGTTTGTTTGGTGGAGGAAGAAGATGATGGCAAATTCATAATTTTGGTGGGCTCCACTTTTTTTGGGTTGGACAAGAACATGACATGTCACATTACCATGTCATTATTTATCCATTTATACAATTGACATGTCTCAAATTTTTGACATGTCATTAAATTTTCGTGAGGTAATGGTGGGTTTTTAACGGAAGGATCAAATTGGGGTTAAAATAGTAAACAGTATGGGCTAAATCAAGGATTTTTTTAGTTCAAAAACTAAATTGGGGTCTGTACAATAATTCAGGGACAAAAATGGGGTTTTAACATATAAATTAATGTGTAATATGCTGATTGATTTTCCCTTTTTGATACATCGAAATGTGTAGCTGCTTGGTGTTGTGTAGAGATATTTGAATCTTAAATTTGAGCTTAACCCCAATTATGCTGATTGATTAATACATGGAAAAAGTTTATCTTACTTAACCTAATGATTCTTGTGCATCCCCCCCACCCCCCAACAAACAATATATAGTATGCAGTTACTAATTAAGAGTGCATGCATAGATACGTAATATTGAGGTCATAAATTAATACATTAAAAAAAATAAAGGAGAAAGAATAGAAAAAAAAAGGGGGACAAAGTTGTTGATCTTAATGTCAAGTGAAGACTATATAAAGATGGTTGATCCATAAAATCTACCTTGTTAACAAACGAGCTTGGTTTGGAGATACTAGACTGTAATTGTATTTATAGGCTTTTTTTTTTTTTATCTTTTAATTATATTAAAAAATAAAAAATATATTTAATATTTATTTTAATTAATATTTTATATATTTTTAAGATAATAAAAAAATAAAAGTAAAAAACTAAAACACTACAAAATTATTTCTAAACAAAACCCTAAATAGCCAAGAATAGCTAGCTAGTCGATCGACCACCCACCTAACACTTCTATCTTGACTCTGCTTCTATACCAATCAAGCATTAATTTTGAGTATTATTTTTAAGTCTTAGTGCACGACAGGCTTATAAAACAAGCAATTTGCATCCACACATATATATATATATATATATATATCTATTGAGATAAGGTCATTATTTGCATCCACATATTGATGTCTATTTTTTGGCTGTCCACAGACTGATATCTTAGTAAACTCATATAAAATGGGATAAAAGTAAATAAAAAGAAAGAGGAGAATATAAAGTATAAATTGATTTATCATGTTGGTATGATTGGTTATGACAATGTCTTGATTTGAAGGTAAAGAATGTCTATAATGATTTGTGTGTTCTATATAAGTTCCTTGCGTGGGGGTTTTGATTTGATTATGCAAGCTAATCTTTGCTAATTACATCAAATGATTGCATTACAAGTTTCATGCCTTCATGTACATATTTCTCAACCCCATAAAAAATTGTTATATGTGCTTTCACTTTCATAATTGGCGTGGCACTTTCTGTTTTGGCTAATCGAGTGCAATTCTTCATAATATTTGGTAGAAAAGATTTGAGTATTATAATTAGAAGATTGGATGAATCAAATAAATAAGCATATTTAGCTATAGACCATATATTTTTAGCTATAGACCATATTTCTTCTTTTTTCAATATTTGAGGTTTGAACGTCAATTCAAATATATAGTTAGGTACCTCATTCTTGAAAATCTCTTAGATATTTTAACATAAACTAAAATTTTCTGAGCCTCAGAATTTTTTTGGGCCATAAAAGGTCTCTTGCATTTAATAAAAGTCAATTAGTCTTTCCTCTTATATATTTATTAAAATAAAATATCTTATTCAATGTTAAAATTTTGAGTCTTTATATCTTAAGTTTAAATTTTAATATAAGTTAAAAGGGATTTGAAAAGAAAATAGTTGTTTTTATTATATAATTTATTATTTAAAAAATAAAATAACACACTAAAATTTATTATTTTCACAAAATTTACTCTTTTTTATGAACCATGAATTAAATTTACCATTTCATGAGCATTCATAATTAATGTAAAATAAAAAATAATTTTTTATATGACTTTATACATTATTTAATAATTAATTTTTCATTTAATTAAGACCAATAATATTAATATTTATTTATTTAATAATATATAAAAATTATATAAAGCATTATTTATATCTTTATCATATAAGATAAATTGTAGATAAGTTTTTCCTTAAAATACGGAGGCAGTCCATGTATCACGAATGACAAATAGATGCGTTAAAATCCACTGTACGTCCGACTCTTCATATCACAAAAATAAAGGGTATAATATTTTTTTATATGTTTGATTATAAATTATATAAAAAAATTATTTTTTTTTATTTTTTTTATCGAATTAAAATTTTAAATTTGAAATCTTCATCTTTAAATATCAAAATTTTAATTATTGAATTACTCCATCGAATTCTTCACAATATAGTATATATCAAGTAACTAATACAATTATTTATTATTAATAATTTTAAAAATAATATTACAATAATAAAATTTATGTCACCCTAAAAATATAAATACAACTATCTATTATCAATATTTTAAAAATAACGTTAATAAAATTTGTGTTACTTTAATAATGTTTTATGTGACAATAATCATGTCATTTCATCTTTCATCAATCAAATTGTTTCACGTATAGATAACACTCTCGATGGAACAAATAGAACCAAGCAAACGGGTAGTTGAAAATTAATTAAAAATTAATTAAATTGTTGGATGTTAATGTTCCATCAAAAGAAGAAAAAAAAATTGTTGGACGTTAATGTTCCATCAAAAGAAGAAAAAAAAATTGTTGGA